CTTCCAACCAACTTTTCCTTTGAGATGGAAAGTAATGTCACAATATCAAGAAAATTGCCTTGTGATAGGGTTATCGTCTCAGATGAATGTTAGAAATAGTTGGGATAACAAGCGTATAATATGATTACAAAGCCTCTTTTCACGGAAAATATTAATGGTCAAGTAATCTCATAAAAAAAAGCTCATAAGAATCCTGCAGCAAACCTTGTCACCAGAACTCATGATAAATATATATATTATTAAAACGTCCATTTTTATAGCGAAAATGGCGAAGCCTTCATTGAAGGTGAAGATTAGGTAGTAACAATGATATTTGTGCAAATCCCAGAAAAGCAATAGCAGTAGCGATGAAAATGCAGGAATTATGTGCATAATACCCAATGATATGTTCCAAATAACTTATCTGCATCTTTACAAGCGCCTAAGCTCTGAAGCATATTCCTAGTAAACATTAGGACCACGGATATAATTCATACATAATTTCTTTGCCGAATACTGAAGGCTGTCTAAATGATAACATATGCATAATTGTATGATAAGTTTCTTTTATAAATGAATAAGAGTTTACATGCATTGTCCGGCCCCCTGATGCAAAAGCAGGAGTCCAGGAACCGTGGGCAAAGCGAGCAGAAATGCAGCGGAAACATTAAGGCAGGCAAGGCCAGCAAGGAGAAGGCCGAAGAGCAGATAGCCAAAACAAGCAGTAAGGCGCCAATGCTGTGCGTAACCAAGGAAGTGGCTATGGAAATATGAAGCAAAATGAAAAATGAAAGGTATTAGTTTAGATTAATCCCCGTAGGCAACAGCAGTTAATAGAATCCAAAAAAAGGACCAGTGATAGAGGTGGTCGTGAGTATGCGAATCTGGATCGATCTGTATATTGGATCCTAATAAGAACAAATTTAATGGTTGACAGCGTCATTTGATTCGTATAGTCTTTGATAGAGTTGATCGAAGCCGTTTAACATAATCCCCCTTAGCTGTGACTTTACAGCAAATGGTAGTAATTCCTTTGGATATAAAAGGTCTGCTCAGTTGATGTAATACGATTAAATTATTGATTAGACCCTTGGCTATATTTATGGAGTAATTTAAATATATAACATATTCTTCAATGGTAGTGAAAATAAAATTGCATAGCACTTAATTACATAAATTGATTGAAAATGATGATGAAGAAAATAATGCAGTCAAAAATGATGCAAAACGAAAAAATATAATTACCAAAAATCAAGAACCGATAATCTCGATTCGGAAACATCAAATTCGTTGTTAATATAACAAACATAAAAGTAACTACTTCTAGTCAGAAAAGGTCTACTAAAGCGAGTCATTTGGTAATATCGATATTAAACAGGCCAGCCAAACTCTTAGTTGAACTGCTAGCAAGCGATTAATCATACGAATATGATTGCC